ACCCAAAATGGCCCCCAACGCCGATAGAAGCCACCGAGATGTCCCGAGCATGACCCAAAGGAGGCCCCAACACGGTCCAGACACACCGAGATGGCTCCTAAAGAAGATCGACTGGATGACCGATCCAGGGGAGGACGAGGAGGGCGGCCAAAATGGCCCAAAAGCCGATACTAGGAGCCACAGAGATGTCCCGAGCATGCCCCGAAGAAGGCCCCAAGAGTGTCCAGACACTCCGAGAAGGCTCCTAACGCACAGCCCAAGTAAACCAAAGTGACACTTACTTGACAGTTTCTCCTGCGTCTTATCGGTGATCCTCCCGTGCACCGGGCGCCTGAGCGGCCCCAGTGCGGGCCATCTCGGCGCCCTCTTGCGGGCCTCTTGGGTCGTATATCACGCTGCCACAGCTGAGAGCATATAAAGTTATCACGGCGACCCGCCCCGCAAAAGCAATGATGAACACAGAGCGCGGCGTGAGAAACAGCTTCTGTCCACACCACGTTCTGCCTACATGCGTTCCTGCCTTCAGGCCTGCTTGCCTGCATCCCTCGCCCACCTCCCCCTTCAGCGGCCACTTCCTCCATCCACACCGTTCCCTCCAACCTCCCCCACCGCGAGGTCCGGGAGACGCTCCATTTCTACGTCCACACCATGGCGGGCAGACTCCGCGGCCGGAAGGCCGCGGGTCAGCCCTAGTCTCTACTACATTGCAGGGCCCAGTGCGTGCCAGAAGGGCGCAGGCTCCAATGTCTCAAAACCGCCCCAGGCTGGCCCCGGGCCGCCCCGGGCCGCCCAGGCAGGCTCCAGGACATGTCGGGAGGGCCCCCAGAAGCCCCCAAGACGGCCCCGGAGAGCCCCAGCACGCTTAAAGATGGGCCCAAGACGCCCGAGATTCGCCCCAGGCGGCCCAAGAGGCGTCCAAGACGCCCGAAGAGGCCTCCCAAGAGGCCTCCCAAGAGGGCCCCGAGCGACAGAAATCATCGATTTCTACTGTGTTTTTCGATGTTTTCGGCCTCCTCGCCTCTTCGGCTTCCCGACGCTCCAAGATGGCCCAAGAAGTCCCCCCGACCGCTCCAAGACGGCCGAAGAGGACCCCAAGAGAGCCCCAAGACGGGCCAGGAGGGCCCCCAGATGGTCCCAAGACGCCCCAGGACGGCTCCAGGACGGCCCAGGAGGCGCCCAAGACGGCCCAAGAGGCACCCAAGACGGCCCCAGGAGCGGCCCAAGACGGCCCAAGACAGCCCAAGAGGCGCCGAGGCGGGTCTCAGACGGCCCCAAGACGGCCCAAGAGGCACCCAAGACGGCCCGAGAGGGCCCTAAGAGCCCCCCCGGGAGGCCCAAAAGAAGGCCGAAGAGGCTCCGAAACGGCCCCCACGAAGCCTTCAGTGCCTTCAGAATTCCCTCCGGAGCGGGGGAGCGGACGAGAGGCGACAGGCATATCGCAGGCAAAAACGCCCCAAGAGATCCCGAAACGGCCCCCACGAAGCCCTAAGTGGCCTCAGAATTGCTTCCAGGAGGGGGGGAGCGGACGAGAGGCGACCGGCATATCGAAGGCACAAAAGAACAATGTTGGACGCTCCGAGGGCCTTCGATGTTTCTCCGTTGGGGAGAGTCGTCGTAGGATCGACGATTGCCGACCGAGGGCAGCGAATCCAGTGGAGGCCCAAGAGGCCCCCAGGAGCCCAAAAGAGATCCCCAAGAGGTGCCACGGGGCTTAAAAACTGCTTCGAAGCGAGGGGGGCGGACGAGGGGACCGCCTCAGGAGGTTTTGGACGGTTTTGGGCCTCAAAATCGTCCGCTTTACGACGGTTTTGGAAGGATTGTGGCCTTCTCGCCTTTTCCACTTTCCGACGCTCGAAGACGGCCCAAGAGGCCTCCAAGAGCGCCCCAGAACGGCCCAAGAGACGCTCAAGACGGCCCACGAGGGCCCGAAGACAGGCCCAAGAGGGGGCCAAGAGGGGGACCACGGACCGAAAATCCGAGCCTTCCGCCCCAAGAGGGCGCCAGGAGGCCCAAACAGGCCCCCAAGAGGCCCCAAGGGGCCGCCAAGAATCCCCCGAAGAGGCCCCAGGAGGCTCCCAAGGAGCCCAAACGAGGCCCCTACAGAGGCCCCAACAGCTTCCAAAATGGCCCCGAAGAGGCCTCGAGCCCGCCTCCGAGCTTCCTCGCCGCGAGGGTGCCAACACGGCCCCAGACCGGCCCAGGACGGCCCAAGGCGCGCTCAAGACGGCCCAAGACGATTCCAAGACGGTCCCAGGAGGGTGCGCCCAGGACGGCCCAAGGACGCGCCCGTTCGGGGTCTCAAGACGGGCCAAGATGGCAAGAGAGTCCCAGCTGGCAAAAATCGTTAATTTTCCATTGTTTCCTGTTACACCCTTTGCGTTTCCCGCCGTTTCGGCGGTCTGATGCACCAAGAGGCCCCAGAAAGTCCCAGGAAGGTCCGAGGAACCGCCCAGGAAGGCCCCAAGACGGGCCAAGACGGACCCAGCACAACCCAAGGCGCACTGCGACGGCTCCAAGACAGCCCCAAGAGGGTGCCAACACGGCCCCTGCTGGGCCCAGGACGGCCCAAGGAGGCGCACAGGAGGGGCCCAAGACGACTCCAAGGCGGCCTCCTCACGGTCCCAGACGGCTCCAAGACAGCCCCACGAGGACCCCGATGGGCCCAGGACGGCCTACGGACGCGCCCATGAGGGGCCCACGACGAACCAAGACGGCCCCATCAGGGCAAACGGCGCCCTCAAGACGGGCCTAGACGGCTCCAAGACGGCCCTTTGAGGGAGCCAACGCGGCCCCACACCCTTCGGGCGCACACTTGGGGGGGCTGGGAGCTTGCGACAAGTCTCCCACATTCATTGTCCTGCCCCATTCTGTTCGCCTGGAGGCCTCCTCCAACCCTGTGGGCGAACAAGAGGAATCCCAGCGGGACGCCAACCCTGGGGCCCGTGGGCCCCGCGCCGCTTGGGCAGAAGACGAACGCCGGGTCTGACAGGCCAGCTACCGCCCCCCTTTGCCCGATATGCTGTGCCATTCTGTTCCCCCAGGGGCCTTGGCAAACTCTTCGGGCCAAGCAGACCGGACCCCTGGGACAGCAGCCAATTGATATGACCCTGGGACCTCTCCGCATTCTTCGGACGAGCATCTGGGGGGCCCAGGAGATTCGGACATGTCTTCCCCATTCCTTGCCCTGTCCCGTTCTGTTCGCCCGAAGGCCTCCACAGACCCTCTGGGCGAACAGAATGGGACATGGCGAACAAACCCTCCCGTTGGCGGTGATGCGACTGGATCGCACCATCAAGGCGCGCCCGGAGGTGATGGCCGACCCAACAGCGGTTTCTCTTAAGAGTTCACTGGATTTCAAATTTTCTTGAAGCTCTCTTGGGCCCTCCCTGTAGATCCTTGCGAGCCTCCCCGGCGCTTTCGGTGGCTTTCCCCGATGGCCTCCCGAGCCCTTCCCCGAGCGCTCCTGAGACGCCTCAGATGGGCTTCGACTTCGACGCACATCCCCGAGAGACTTCGAAACTGTCCTCAATAGGAGGGGGGTGAACGAGCAGTGCGCTGGGCCAAGCTGCTGCAGCGCTGCAAGAGCTCGGACACGAAGGCGCGGTCTCGCTGCCGCCGCCCGAGCCGCCGCCGTGTTTGTAGATTTTCGGTACAATCTGCGCCGTTCCTCCGAGAACCATTCCAGAAAGATGTCGTGGACGGAGTCCACGGGTCAGCCCTAGTCTCTACTACATTGCAGGGCCCAGTGCGTGCCAGAAGGGCGCAGGCCCCAATGCACCGAAACCGCCCCGGGCTGGCCCCGGGCCGCCCCGGGCCGCCCAGGCAGGCTCCAGGACATGTCGAGAGGGCCCCCAGAAGCCCCCAAGACGGCCCCGGAGAGCCCCGGCACGCTTAAAGATGGGCCCAAGACGCCCGAGATTCGCCCCAGACGGCCCAAGAGGCGTCCAAGACGCCCGAAGAGGCCTCCCAAGAGGCCTCCCAAGAGGGCCCCGAGCGACAGAAATCGTCGATTTCTATTGTGTTTTTCGATGTTTTCGGCCTCCTCGCCTCTTCGGCTTCCCGACGCTCCAAGACGGCCCAAGAAGTCCCCCCGACCGCTCCAAGACGGCCGAAGAGGACCCCAAGAGAGCCCCAAGACGGGCCAGGAGGGCCCCAAGACGGTCCCAAGACGCCCCAGGACGGCCCCAGGACGGCCCAGGAGGCGCCCCAGACGGCCCAAGAGGCACCCAAGACGGCCCCAGGAGCGGCCCAAGACGGCCCAAGACAGCCCAAGAGGCGCCGAGGCGGGTCTCAGACGGCCCCAAGACGGCCCAAGAGGCACCCAAGACGGCCCGAAAGGGCCCTAAGAGCCTCCCCGGGAGGCCCAAAAGAAGGCCGAAGAGGCTCCGAAACGGCCCCCACGAAGCCTTCAGTGGCTTCAGAATTCCCTCCAGGAGCGGGGGAGCGGACGAGAGGCGACAGGCATATCGCACGCAAAAACGCCCCAAGAGATCCCCAAACGGCCCCCGCGAAGCCCTAAGTGGCCTCAGAATTGCTTCCAGGAGGGGGGGAGCGGACGAGAGGCGACCGGCATATCGAAGACACACAAGAACAATGTTGAACGCTCCGAGGGCCTTCGATGTTTCTCTGTTGGGGAGAGTCGTCGTAGGATCGACGATTGCCGACCGAGGGCATGGAGAATCCAGCGAAAGAGGAGAAGAAGGTGGAAGAAGAGGAGGAGGAGGAGGAGGAGGAGGAGGAGGAGGAGAAGGCACCCTTACGACAAGCGGGGCCTGGCGCTGCACTGCGAGATGTGGAAAGCCAAGCTGGAGCCCGACGCCATCATGATTGCCTTTCGGCCCTGCAGCCGCACCCCCCCGCGCTTGCCCAGAGACCCCTCGCCACATCGAGCTGATGTCGTGGACGGAGTCCACAGGTCTGCCCTAGTCAGCTACACTGCTGGGATCAGCGCGTGCGAGAAGGGTGAGCAGTGGCAGCCGGCGCTGGCGCTGCTGAGCGAGATGGCGGAGGCGAAGCTGGAGCTCGACGTCTTCAGTACTACATGTCCGGTCGCGGCGCGTGCGAAAATTGCGTTTTGAGGGAAAAACGTTCCGGAGCGCCCCCAAGCGCACGGAGCGCCTGGAGCGCTCGCGGGACCCTCCTCGACGGGCTCACAGGATCGCCAGATGGCCCCGAGACAGCCTCAGACAGTCCAAGACAGCTAGATTTGCGACTTCCTAGAGGGCGCCAAGACGGCCAAAGAGGGCCAGAGGTCCCAGGGAGCCTCACAGAGCCACGAGAGGCTCCTGAAGACGCCCCAGGAGCTGCAGGGCCCAAACCAGGCTCCCAGACGGCCCCAAACATCCACCATGGCCCCAAGATGGCCCAAGTGGCGCCGGGGACGGCCCAACGTGGCCCACGAGGACCTCGACGACGGCCCCCGCGAGGCCAGAAATCAAGCAAAGACTTTGTGTGTTTTTTTTGTTTTCCACACCCCCCGCATGCCTACCCAGAAGGTCCAATGTGCATGATTCGGCACACCCGCCGGCGTGCGTTTTTTTAGAGTGTGAAAGCTTTGATGTGCATATTTCATATTCGTGCATTTCTCAAAAAAGAAGTTGTATAGCATCGTGTACGTTACACGCAGATGTATTGCATACATACAGCTACACACATATATAGATGTGTATAACTGTATGTATGTGTATATCTACGCACGTCGTGCTTTTCCGCTTACGTATATGTCACATTTCACATGTTTAGGCATAGCCCATCCTGGATCCCGCCGCAACTGCCACGCTCAAGTCTTTTCCCTGCTGACAGGTCAGCAGGTGATTTCGGGGCGCGCACCGGCAGGGGCCTGGTCAAGGCCTCTCGCTCTCCCCTTCTCAGAGGAGCTCCCCGCAGCAGGGGGCCGCTCGATGCCATGGCGAAGCCAGTCGGCGCCTGGTGCTGACGCCGGTGCTTCGTCAGGTGGTGTCGGACATGCTCAGGGCGGCCCCCGCCACGGCGCTGAAGTCCAGGCGGTGCTCGATCAGGAGGGAATGGAGGAGCACCTCACCAGCGACACGGAGGTCGCGGACGACGACGCCGACCTCGAGGAGCTGAGGCACCAGACCAGCCTCCGCGGTCGCGCCGGAGCCACTGTGGCCTTCACAGCCGCGGCGGGCTCCCCGCGGGCCCCAGGCGAGTGGGAGGTCACGCCCGTGCTGCTGCCCGAGGCCAACAGCTGGGGCCAGGTGGAGGGGCCCGGCGCTTACGTCTCAGGCGAGGGCGGCGGCCAGACTCTTGGCGGCCGATCGCCCGGCCTGGCAGGCGGCGTGCCCTCTGGCCCGCGTGGGGCAGCACGCCCTTCGTCGACCGCCGCCCCGGTGCGCAACGACTTGCCGCTGGTGGGCGTCCTGAGCTTCTTAGACACGCCGGTACGACGGCGGTGGTTCGTCGCGACGTTGGACGGCGACGTGAGGGTGTTCCGTGCGCAGATCGCCGGCGCCACGCGCACCCCGAGCTCGGACGTCGTCCTGGGCTTCAAGAGCGAGGTGATGGTCGATGGGCGATCGCTTCGGGACTACGGCATTGTCGGCGAGTCTGAGATCGTCGCTACCCGCAAGATCCGTGGGGGCGGCGATTCGGGCGGAGGTTCAGAGAACGGACAGTCCTTCGGCTGGAGCTGCAGGCGGTGTTTGACTCCCAACAGGTGCGGACTTGAATGTGCGATGTGTGGGACACCCAACCCGAACCTGCCCAGCGGCGACTGCTTGAGCGACGGCCTGAGCGACTCAGATGACGACCTTGGGAGCGCGGGCGGGTGCGGCGACGATCCCAACCCCGACGTCATGGAGCCGCCGGTCGCAGCGGACCTCCAGGGGCCCAGCTTTGCAGCGGTTCTCGACCAGCACGGCGTGCTCTGGGCCGCACCCCTTGGCGAGGTCATCGGCGCCGGGGACGAGGCGGTCACGGCGGCGCCAGACTCGGCCCCAGCTCCGCCTGTCGGCGCTCTCGGCGCCCACGGCGGCGACGCCCTGCCGGCTCCGCTCGGCGAGGACAGCCTCGGTCAGGTCGCGGAAGCCGCGGGCGTCGTGGTCTTCGAGGGGGACCCTGGCCTGGCGCTGAACGGCCACCCGGCGCCGCCGCCCAGGCCTCAGCAGCTGATGGTGCACGTGTCACAGCTGATGGAGGACTCCGAGTCGGACTCCGACTGCCACGCGGGCGCCCCTCCCGGCATGGGAGGTCCGGCGGCGCCGGCCGAGAGCCCGGCGGGCTCCGCGCCCAGCGAGCAGGCGGGGCAGCCGGCTTCGCCTAGCGGCCAGCCCGAGCGGCCCGGCATCCTCGGCGTCAGCCCGGACGCCAGCGTTTCGGTCGCGCAGGAGGTGCAGTCGCCAGAGGAGGAGGAGAGTTTGGCCGGCGCCGGCAGCGGCGCCGGCCGTGCCTCATGATGCCCCCAGGGGTCGTGAGGGGGGCGGCGCTGGCAGCCCAGGCGCCGACAGCAGCTCCTCACGGCCGTCACCAACATGGGCAAGAAGGGCAGCAAGTGCGAGGTGCGCCCGAACGCCAGGTGGAGGCCCGGGGCCCAGCCTTCACTCTTGATAGCCTTGGATGGCAGCAGGGTCCACCCGGCCTCACGAAGGTCGGCGGCACGAAACATCGTCGTGAGCTTCCTGACGGTCGCCATCGCGACATCTTTCCGCTCCCCATTCCTGAATCTCTTGCTGCTCATCCTGTTTCTGGTCCTCTGTCGCGTGCTGTGCGTCGTCGGGTCCTCCGCGCCGAGCATGATAAGCACCTCGCTCGTGATGCCATCGCGTCTCTCAACAAGACCTACGGCTGCGTCTCCTGCGGTAGTGAGTTTTCGAATGCCGGGCAGAAAGCAGCTGTAGATAATATCATTGCAACTTGCTGTGCGGTGGGGGGTCCGCCTGGGGACTCTGCCGAGCAGCTCTCTTTTTCCAAGGGAGCCCTGTCGGCGCTCCTTGATGGCTCCGCCCTGTACTCATCAGATGGGGGGGCGGTGGCTTCCTTCCAGCGAGACCTAGTCTCTTGGCCCGCCGAGCAGGTCGACCCGGTGCCACTCGAGTCGCTTGCGACTGGGCCTGTTTTGAAACAGCTGGAGGCCTGGCAGCACCAAATGCTTCGCCCGGAGTCGGAGGCACGGGCCCTGCAAAAAGAAGTTTGCCCACGGGGACCTCACATGGACCCCGTCCTGAAGAATTCGCCGTGGCGGTATGCTGAGTTTTTGGCCGACATGTCTTCCCGGGGGATGTTGTCCTGGGAGCGCGCCATGGGGCGGCAAGGCAATCTCGGGCTGTTTTTTGTGAAGAAGAAAAGCGGCGCACAGCGCATCATTTTCGATACCAGAGTTGCTAATTGCAGGTTCGTCGACCCCACGTCGACGCGCCTCCCCTCCCCGTCTGCTTTTGCCTCCCTTGAAACCGAGGGGGGCCCTCTGTATGTGGCGAGCGGAGATCTGGATGTGGCGTTCTATCATATGCAGCTTCCTAGAGGAATGGAACATTTGTTTAGTCTGCCCTGTATAGATTCCTCTTACCTTCAGAAGTTCAACATCCCTGGAGTCCCCGACGGGGCCGGCGTTACTATGTTACCATGCGTGCAGGTGCTACCCATGGGCTTCTCGTGGGCTCTCCACCTATGCCAGAACGTCTTAGAGGGGGCCTTGGACAAAGGGGGCTTCAGGAGGGACGAGCAGGTGCTGGACGGCAGGCCGGGGGTGGTTCTGAGGTATCCTGGGGACACTGCTTCGGCTGCGTATGTGGACAACTTTCTCACCTTGGGGCAGGATCCTGGGGCAGTGGCCAGTCGTCTCTACAATGTCGTCAAGCTGTTGCGGGGGCTGGGCCTGGTCGTGCACGAGCTTGAGGGGGCCAGCAGGGACCGTGAGTTCTTGGGGATGTCGCTTCGAGACGGTCGATATCTCTCGGTCAAGAGTCGAAACGTCTGGAGGCTTCGCTACGCCTTGGACGACTTGCTGGCCCGTCCGAGGGTGAGCGGGCATCTTTTGCGGGTTGTCGCCGGTCACATCACTTGGACGAGCTTGGTCCGCCGCGAGTGTCTGTCTCTGCTGCACGCCACGCACGCCTTCATTCAGGCCGCGGGGTCGTCCCCGCGTCCTCTGTGGTCTGCGGTGAGACAGGAGCTCGAGAGTGTCCGCAACCTGCTGCCCTTGCTGTGCGTTGACCTCCAGGCAGAATGGCATCCCTACGTTGCCTGCACAGATGCGTCTCCGTTCGGTCTTGGGGTTGTTCGCCGCAAGTTGAGCCGGGTCCAGGTCCAGGAGCTAGGCCGTCAGAAGGAGAAGTTCCGATTCAAGACCGAAGGAGGAGCCCAGGCCCGTCACCGGGCCTTGGAGGCTGCGGGGGTGGATGAGGAGACCGCGATGATCCTGGAGCATGAGGAAGGGCCCCTGTGGGCCTGTGACGCCAGACCACCAGACGAAGAGGCCCTGGAGGTGACGGAGTTCTCGGAGGTGCCCAAACGTCTTCTGCGTCCGGGGTGCTGGAGCTGTGTGTCGGCCACGCATGTCGAGATGGGTCCCAACATACTGTTTCTGGAAGGTGAGGCCCTTGTCATGGGCTTCAAGAACATCCTCAGGAGTTGCAGGGCCCACGGCCGTCGTATCCTGATCCTCTCGGACAACCTTCCTCTGGTATTGGCGGCGGGCAAGGGGCGCGCCAGGTCTGTTCACCTTCGCCAGTGCCTTTATCGTATATGTGCTCTGTCGCTGGCTACGGGCTCGAGACTCGCCGTCCGGTGGGTGCCATCGGAGCTCAACCCAGCCGACCCGGTCTCTAGAGGCGAGGTCGGCTGGTTCTCGGGCGCTCGTGCGTATGAGCCGCCAGGGCCGCTGGGCAACTTCGTGCCCGTGGCTGCTGCGGTTGGCCACAGTCCGATGGATGCTGGTGCCGCCGAGCGCGCCGGAGGCGCAGACTGCCCGAGCGGCTCGCGGGGCTCCGGCGGCCCTTCGCTCGCCGCGCCACCGGGGCTGGGCCTCTGCGGTGGGAGTGGGCGCGCTGCTGGTGGGTTGCTTCCTCCTGCCGCGC